GGCCTTGGTGCTGTGGCCACCAGTGGTGTGCCGTGCAATGGAGGGCAGATACAACAAGCGCTTGAAGCTGCGGCCTTCGGAAAAGTATCGTTAGGTGACACATAGGTACTTTATGCATGAACCTCACCAACCGCGCTTCATTTCTCGGTGTTCTTCACCGTGAACCCGAAGCGCTCGTGGGGGGTGTTCCTCCTGCCAAATGCATCATGCTGTGGCCGTGAAATTTTGTTTTTGTCACAACTTCAGCCAATGATATCATTGTATTTTACAGATTAGCCAATCATATTCAAGTATAATGTCGGTAGTAACATGGAACAAATGCATTTTTCACATGTCGGTGGTAACATGGAACAGAGGAAGTAAAACAAGGGATTATATATCGACGATTTCGGAGATAACATTTTTTCCCTATCCGTAGACTTTTGCGGATGCTGACATCGTACTGGGGCCGCGCAACAGCACAGAGGAACATTACCTTAGTGATGAAGCGCTTCGACTTGGACTGACGGTGTGGCAACGTTTCGTCGTCGTACACGTAAAACTTGCCCTTGTTCTTTGTTAAGAAGAACCAATTCTCGTCAACGTGCCCGACGTCCTGCATGTCGTCGAAAACGTGGTTCTTGACAAAGGACAAAGCAAACTTCATGCGTTCTTCCTTGTTGTCTTCAGTGAGCAATGGCCGCAGGTACGACGACTTGCATCGGAGCCGGCGGTTGTGCTTCATGTGGCGCAGAATGGTTGATCGCGGAACGCCAGAGTGAAAGGCCAAAGCTCGGGTTGTTTGTCGTTTGTGAAACGGGACGGACTTGATCACTGCCTCAATGGCTTCTGCAGACCACTTTGTTTTCGTTCCACAGTTCCCTAATTCAAGTTCATCCTTTAAGAATGTATACCTTTAAAAACTGAAGCCTATATCATTTTATACATTTCATGCGGGATGTTGGAGGTGGCGCGATCATCTTGGAGCAGCTCTCTGTGCATGCTGCTTTCCACGAGTTCCAGACCGCGGACACCGTTGTGCGATGGCAGTTGAATTGGTCTGCCACGCCTTTGACGGATCCATACTTTCGTTTGCCGCCATTGCTGCTCGCTAGCAGCATGTTAATCATGGCTTGTCGCTCCGCGTCGGTGAGGATTTGAGCCTTTACGCGAGATTGCGTGGGTCCAATGGACTCGCAGCGTGACGAAGGCATATCAGGGGGGTTCGGTTGTGTAGTAGTTGTTTCGGGCTTGTTAAAGAAGAAATGTTGCATGTACTACACATCATATTACTCTTGTCGTGGAAACTTCAAACTTTGGCGCCTCATACAGTATCTCCAGAACTAAAACACTCTGGAAAGCGCATTTATAGTCAAGCCCTTGGTTTGCTCTCTTTGGAGAGCCTATCAAAATGCTTATAGTGCAAAATCTGACCTTATTCCGCCAATTGGAAGTAAATGTCGGGTTTATTGCGAACCAGAGTAGTATCCATTTATAGAGGAACCAATATATACGCGCCAACTAAAACACACCAATCCAAGCATAACGTTATCAAAATCATGGGTGAAGAGATGACCGAAGTTCGAGGTGCGCGGCTACGTGGCCGTCCGGTGTCGAAAGGAGGTCGCAAGAAGCTCCCTAAGAAGTTTGTGTACGCGTATGCCACCTACAAGAAACGACAGGACGTGATTGAATCCTTCGACGCTGTGGGCATGGCATCGACACTGGACAAGCACTTCCATCACCTGCATGGGGTTCAACGTGAGACAGCAAGGAAGAAAGTGTATGCATGGACGAAACAGTGCGAGCACATCAAGGCAAAGGCGCTCAATCCACGGACTGCACACCACAAGTGCTCTCGCGAACTTGGCATGGGCACAACACTTCCCCGGGGGAAGCGGAAGAGCGACTGGCGTGGTGGGTGGTATCAATGCGAAAGGATGGGGTGCCAGTGACTCCCCAAATGATGCAAATCATGGCGCTTGAGTCGACCATTGACGTGGAGTTGGACTAAGACGCGTTTATGGCTGGGTCGCATTGTCTGCACGTGTTCATGAAGCGGTATGGACTGTCTTTGCGCGCGCACTCGAATTGGCCAAAACTCTCAAAGGGACGGCGATGCAGCTCTTGTTGCCTTCATCGTAATATCAACCAGGTTGTGAAGGATAACGACATCGACCAAACCAGCGTGACCTGCAAGTACTTGCCGACAAATACTCTGAATAGAACGTCGGACAACACTGGATCTAGTCCGGGGTAAGACAAAGGAGCCAGTTACCACGATGGTCATGGGCGACACCACAGGGAAGAAGCACTCGCTCTTACTGTAGTAGTATTTCTATGTCTAGAGGGAATTATGATTTTCTTTGGGCAGACGTCGTGGGGTTGTGAAATATCACCTGTCTAGAGGGATAATGTTGTCTTGCGCCGGTGTTCGCAATCGACGACTACCGTGTTCACAACGGTGACCTCGATGACAAATCCAAAAGTAACTTCATTATCCAGTCAATCAGTCAGTTCCCTCCTATCACTTCACTACTCTCTACCAGTCATGCATCGTACAGTGTACTGTCAGCTCGGAACATATGCCGCTCCGATCCAGGTCATATTTCACACTCTTCAAATGTCGTTCGTGACCAACATTCGGCTACCCACACTCAGGCACGGGGAGTCGAACAGAGGCTCGGCCGATAACACTTCCCCCCCTACATTGGGTGGTCACATGCACTCGTGAGATCGTCAATCATTTCGCTCACGCCATCTTCGTTGCTCCGGGCCTTGGCCCATCGACGGAATAGCACGGGAACGTCTTCGTAGATCGATAGGGCCGGCTCCCAGGACGACTCCAGATCGTCCAGGCCAAGCCACTTGATCAGGACTTCCCAGATCTCGCACACGCAGGTCCCGGAGGTCTTCCACGTAAAAACCTTCATCGCCGAACGCGATTTGGGCCTTCAAATCTTCATTGATCTCACGTCCGCCCTCGTAGTACAGGCGGAGCCGGCATGCATGGTGCAGGGACGTCGCTCCCGGAGGCACCAGCTGCTGGACTTCCATCAGGTAGTCAGAGACCACCTTCACGACCCGAAAGGGTCCCTTCCAACGCAACGTTAGCTTTCCCGGATGCTGGAGAGCCCGGGCCACCAAAACAAAATCGCCCAGCGTAAATTTCGCCAGCTTCACGGAACGTTGACCATCACGATGGTACCGGGCCTTAGCACGCTTTGCTGCCGCCGTCTCTGCCACGTGCTTGTGCATAATTCCCAGGGCATCTGCGAGCTCTGACACGTGGCGTATCGCCCGGGACTTAATCCAGTCGATCGTTACCTCCCGGGGCTCGTCCGGGTGGACCAGTCCAGTCAGGGGAGGTGTAGCAGGCAGGCCCGTAAACGCCGTCGTTGGCGCTACGCCATCCAAACGGTCGGCCGGCTGCTGATTCAGGGCAGACTGTACCAGGGGTAACACCCCCGGCCAGTCTCCGGGTTGCAAGCGCATCTCGCTGCACAGGGTCTTCAGGGTCCGGACGACGATCCGGTTCACCACCTCGACTGTCCCGTTGGCCCAGGGGCAGTGTGGTGTAACAAAATGATGATGAACACCAAACATACGACCCAGGGTACTGACCAGTTCGTTCTTGAAATGGGACCCAGAGTCGGATACCCAGGTCCTGACCACGCCGAACAGTCCAAACCATTCCATCAACGCCGCGGCCGTCTCTGCTGCAGACGCTGTCGTACTGGCATGTAACCGAACGAACCCGCTCATGTCATCCTTGATGACCAGGACGTATTTCAGGCCTCCCGGAGCCTCCGGGAGCGACAGCCAATCGAAATGAATCAACTCATTTGGCTTCGTGGCATGCAGCGCTTCACCCCAGGGACGGGGTACCGACTCACCATCGACCACCATACAATGCAGGCAGGCAGTGACGAAGTTTTTCACGTCGGTCTTCAGGGTAGGCCAATCAAACATCTCCGCAACAGATGCCGTTGTCGCTTCCACTCTCCGGTGTCCCGCCACGCCGGCATGGGCCACCACACATATACGCAC